ACGTCTGAGTGAACCTGAGAGAGAGAGAGAGAGAGAGAGAGAGAGAGAGAGAGAGAGAGAGAGAGAGAGAGTGAGAGAGAGACAGAGAGAGAGAGACAGAGAGACAGAAAGAGAGAGAGAGACAGAGACAGAGAGACAGGGACAGAGACAGAGAAACAGAGAGAGAGAGAGAGACAGAGACAGAGAGACAGAGACAGAGACAGAGAACAGAGAGAGAGAGAGAGAGAGAGAGAGAGAGAGAGAGAGAGAGAGAGAGAGAGAGAGATGTGGCTGTTACTGTTTAAAGCTATGAGATGCACTTTAGTCCATGTTTTATAGGTAAGACTGGAGCTGAACTATTAATCATATCTTAATCTTTATGATGAGCTGAGCGTCTGGAACTCATCAATAAGGGCTGCGATGACAGAACAGATCAAATTACACTACATGTGTGCAGCAAGCAAGAGAAACCGACTCAGTGCTGCCCCATAGTGGACGGGATGTGCTAGTGCAATCAGACTACTGCTCCATCTAAGCCTAACCAATCAGACTACTGCTCCATTTACTGTAACCAATCAGACTACAGCTCCATTTAGCCATAACCAATCAGACTACTGCTCCATCTAAGCCTAACCAATCAGACTACTGCTCCATTTACTGTAACCAATCAGACTACAGCTCCATTTAGCCATAACCAATCAGACTACTGCTCCATTTACTGTAACCAATCAGACTACTGCTCCATTTAGCCCTAACCAATCAGACTACTGCTCCATTTAACCCTAACCAATCACTCCTGCTCCATTTAACCCTAACCAATCAGAGTACTGCTCCATTTAACCCTAACCAATCAGACTACTGCTCCATTTAACCCTAACCTATCAGAGTACCGCTCCATTTAACTCTAACCAATCAGACTACTGCTCCATTTAACCCTAACCAATCAGACTACTGCTCCATTTAGGCGTAACCAATCAGACTACTGCTCCATTTAGGCGTAACCAATCAGACTACTGCTCCATTTAACCCTAACCAATCAGAGTACTGCTCCATTTAACCATAACCAATCAGACTACTGCTCCATTTAATCATAACCAATCAGACTCCTGCTCCATTTAACCCTAACCAATCAGACTACTGCTCCATTTAACCCTGATCAATCAGACTACTGCTCCATTTAACTATAACCAATCAGACTACTGCTCCATTTAGGCGTAACCAATCAGACTACTGCTCCATTTAACCGTAACCAATCAGAGTACTGCTCCATTTAACCCTAACCAATCAAAGTACTGCTCCATTTGACCATAACCAATCAGACTACTGCTCCATTTAACCATAACCAATCAGACTCCTGCTCCATTTAACCCTAACCAATCAGACTCCTGCTGCATTTAACCGTAACCAATAAGACTACAGCTCCATTTAAGCGTAACCAATCAGAGTACTGCTCCATTTAACCCTAACCAATCAGACTACTGCTCCATTTAACCCTAACCAATCAGACTACTGCTCCATTTAACCCTAACCAGTCAGAGTACTGCTCCATTTAACCATAACCAATCAGAGTACTGCTCCATTTAACCCTAACCAATCAGACTACTGCTCCGTTTAACCCTAACCAATCAGACTCCTGCTCCGTTTAGCCGTAACCAATCAGAGTACTGCTCCATTTAACCCTAACCAATCAGACTAGTGCTCCATTTAACCCTAACCAATCAGACTCCTGCTCCGTTTAGCCGTAACCTATCAGACTACTGCTCCATTTAACCCTAACCAATCAGACTACTGCTCCATTTAACCCTAACCAATCAGACTACTGCTCCATTTAACCATAACCAATCAGACTCCTGCTCCATTTAACCGTAACCAATCAGACTACTGCTCCATTTAACTCTAACCAATCAGACTACTGCTCCATTTAACCCTAACCAATTAGTAGTCTGATTGGTTAGGGTTAAATGGAGCAGTACTCTGATTGGTTACGCTTAAATGGAGCTGTAGTCTGATTGGTTACGGCTAAACGGAGCAGTACTCTGATTGGTTAGGGTTAAACGGAGCAGTAGTCTGATTGGTTAGGGTTAAATGGAGCAGTAGTCTGATTGGTTAGGGTTAAATGGAGCAGTAGTCTGATTGGTTAGGGTTAAATGGAGCAGTAGTCTGATAGGTTACGGCTAAACGGAGCAGGAGTCTGATTGGTTAGGGTTAAATGGAGCACTAGTCTGATTGGTTAGGGTTAAATGGAGCAGTACTCTGATTGGTTACGGCTAAACGGAGCAGGAGTCTGATTGGTTAGGGTTAAACGGAGCAGTAGTCTGATTGGTTAGGGTTAAATGGAGCAGTACTCTGATTGGTTATGGTTAAATGGAGCAGTACTCTGACTGGTTAGGGTTAAATGGAGCAGTAGTCTGATTGGTTAGGGTTAAATGGAGCAGTACTCTGATTGGTTAGGGTTAAATGGAGCAGGAGTCTGATTGGTTATGGTTAAATGGAGCAGTAGTCTGATTGGTTATGGTCAAATGGAGAAGTACTTTGATTGGTTAGGGTAAAATGGAGCAGGAGTCTGATTGGTTACGGTTAAATGGAGCAGTAGTCTGATTGGTTACGCCTAAATGGAGCAGTAGTCTGATTGGTTACGGTTAAATGGAGCAGTAGTCTGATTGGTTACGCCTAAATGGAGCAGTAGTCTGATTGATCAGGGTTAAATGGAGCAGTAGTCTGATTGGTTAGGGTTAAATGGAGCAGGAGTCTGATTGGTTATGATTAAATGGAGCAGTAGTCTGATTGGTTATGGTTAAATGGAGCAGTACTCTGATTGGTTAGGGTTAAATGGAGCAGTACTCTGATTGGTTACGCCTATATGGAGCAGTAGTCTGATTGGTTAGGGTTAAATGGAGCAGTAGTCTGATTGGTTAGAGTTAAATGGAGCGGTACTCTGATAGGTTAGGGTTAAATGGAGCTGTAGTCTGATTGGTTAGGGTTAAATGGAGCAGTACTCTGATTGGTTAGGGTTAAATGGAGCAGGAGTGATTGGTTAGGGTTAAATGGAGCAGTAGTCTGATTGGTTATGGCTAAATGGAGCAGTAGTCTGATTGGTTACAGTAAATGGAGCAGTACTCTGATTGGTTATGGTTAAATGGAGCAGGAGTGATTGGTTAGGGTTAAATGGAGCAGTAGTCTGATTGGTTAGGGCTAAATGGAGCAGTAGTCTGATTGGTTAGGGTTAAATGGAGCAGGAGTGATTGGTTAGGGTTAAATGGAGCAGTAGTCTGATTGGTTAGGGCTAAATGGAGCAGTAGTCTGATTGGTTACAGTAAATGGAGCAGTAGTCTGATTGGTTATGGCTAAATGGAGCTGTAGTCTGACTGGTTACAGTAAATGGAGCAGGAGTCTGATTGGTTAGGCTTAGATGGAGCAGTAGTCTGATTGGTTATGGCTAAATGGAGCTGTAGTCTGATTGGTTACAGTAAATGGAGCAGTAGTCTGATTGGTTAGGCTTAGATGGAGCAGTAGTCTGATTGGTTACGGCAAAATGGAGCAGGAGTCTGATTGTTTATGACTATTTCGTTCACTAAAATGATCAGACATGAGTGCGCACTAGCACATCCCGTCCACTATGGGGCAGCACTGAGTCGGTTTCTCTTGCTTGCTGCACACATGTAGTGTAATTTGATCTGTTCTGTCATCGCAGCCCTTATTGATGAGTTCCAGACGCTCAGCTCATCATAAAGATTAAGATATGATTAATAGTGCTCCATTTAACCCTAACCAATCAGAGTACTGCTCCATTTAACCCTAACCAATCAGAGTACTGCTCCATTTAACCATAACCAATCACTCCTGCTCCATTTAACCCTAACCAATCAGACTACTGCTCCATTTAACCATAACCAATCAGACTACTGCTCCATTTAACCATAACCAATCAGACTACTGCTCCATTTAACCCTAACCAATCAGAGTACTGCTCCATTTAACCATAACCAATCAGACTACTGCTTCATTTAACCATAACCAATCAGACTACTGCTCCATTTAACCCTAACCAATCAGAATACTGCTCCATTTAACTCTAACCAATCAGACTACTGCTCCATTTAACTCTAACCAATCAGAATACTGCTCCAGTTAACCCTAACCAATCAGACTACTGCTCCATTTAACTCTAACCAATCAGACTCCTGCTCCAGTTAACCATAACCAATCAGACTACTGCTCCATTTAACCCTAACCAATCAGACTACTGCTCCATTTAACCCTAACCAATCAGACTACTGCTCCATTTAACTCTAACCAATCAGACTACTGCTCCATTTAACTCTAACCAATCAGAGTACTGCTCCATTTAACCATAACCAATCAGACTACAGCTCCATTTAGGTGTAACCAATCAGACTCCTGCTCCATTTAACCCTAACCAATCAGACTACTGCTCCATTTAACCCTAACCAATCAGACTACTGCTCCATTTAACCCTAACCAATCAGAGTACTGCTCCATTTAACCATAACCAATCAGAGTACTGCTCCATTTAACCCTAACCAATCAGACTCCTGCTCCATTTAACCGTAACCAATCAGACTCCTGCTCCATTTAAGCCTAACCAATCAGACTACTGCTCCATTTAACCGTAACCAATCAGACTCCTGCTCCATTTAAGCCTAACCAATCACTCCTGCTCCATTTAACCCTAACCAATCAGACTACAGCTCCATTTAGGTGTAACCAATCAGACTACTGCTCCATTTAACCCTAACCAATCAGACTACAGCTCCATTTAACCCTAACCAATCAGACTACTGCTCCATTTAAGCCTAACCAATCAGAGTACTGCTCCATTTAACCCTAACCAATCACTCCTGCTCCATTTAACCCTAACCAATCAGACTACTGCTCCATTTAACCCTAACCAATCAGACTACTGCTCCATTTAACCCTAACCAATCAGACTACTGCTCCATTTAACCCTAACCAATCAGAGTACTGCTCCATTTAACCCTAACCAATCAGACTCCTGCTCCATTTAACCCTAACCAATCAGAGTACTGCTCCATTTAACCATAACCAATCAGACTACTGCTCCATTTAACCATAACCAATCAGACTACTGCTCCATTTAACCCTAACCAATCAGACTCCTGCTCCATTTAACCCTAACCAATCAGACTACTGCTCCATTTAACTCTAACCAATCAGAGTACTGCTCCATTTAACCCTAACCAAGCAGACTACTGCTCCATTTAAGCGTAACCAATCAGAGTACTGCTCCATTTAACCCTAACCAATCAGACTCCTGCTCCATTTAACCGTAACCAATCAGACTCCTGCTCCATTTAACCATAACCAATCAGACTACTGCTCCATTTAACCATAACCAATCAGACTACTGCTCCATTTAACCATAACCAATCAGACTACTGCTCCATTTAAGCCTAACCAATCAGAGTACTGCTCCATTTAACCCTAACCAATCACTCCTGCTCCATTTAACCCTAACCAATCAGACTACTGCTCCATTTAACCCTAACCAATCAGAGTACTGCTCCATTTAACCCTAACCAATCAGACTACTGCTCCATTTAACCATAACCAATCAGACTACTGCTCCATTTAACCATAACCAATCAGACTACTGCTCCATTTAACCCTAACCAATCAGAATACTGCTCCATTTAACTCTAACCAATCAGACTACTGCTCCATTTAACTCTAACCAATCAGACTCCTGCTCCATTTAACCCTAACCAATCAGAATACTGCTCCATTTAACCATAACCAATCAGACTACTGCTCCATTTAACCATAACCAATCAGACTACTGCTCCATTTAACCCTAACCAATCAGACTACTGCTCCATTTAACTCTAACCAATCAGAGTACTGCTCCATTTAACCCTGACCAATCAGACTCCTGCTCCATTTATGGCAACCAATCACTTTGAGTTTCTCCTCTCAGTTTGTCAGTTGGCCCCCTCCTGGTGGGGGAGGGAAGCTATTAAAGCCAGGACGTCAGAGGTCAAAGGTGAAAGGTCAAACTCACGTGATGCCGCGTGGCTGCTGCTTGGGCTCGCTCTCCTCGTCCGAGTTCTCGTCCCCTCCCTCCTCCTCCATCAGCGGCGTCATTACCTCCATATCTGCTCAGGGACAGAGGGCAGGGGTCAAACGGTCAAAACAGTCCACCACCACTGCACTGAGCGGACCACTTTACGGTCAGACACGGTCAGACACAGAGAACCAGTAAACGCAGACAGTGCTGACACCACACAACGAACGGCGAATCAGCTCACTACACACCACGATAACAAAACACACGATCTCTATCATAAATGTGCTGAGGGTGACCAGGCCTCCTGACCACTACAGCGTTTCTGAGGTCAGTGAAGACAGAGCTTTCTAAACTGACCCTCAGTGTGGAGACTCTTTTCTGTGTTTTCACGCAGAAGAGCAAAACGTAGCTTTTTGAAAGCACCAATGTTACACCATGAAATCATAACTGAGCAGCTGACAGCTTACGTTCTTATCTAGAACCAGGCTGGTCAGCTGGCTAACAGGCTAAAACAGCCAAAACAGCTCCATCATTAATATCACAAGCTGGAATTAAAGCACTTACAATATGATTAACTACAGAACTGCAGTATAAAAGTCTAAAAATATCACTTGAATGTCTTTCACACTTCAGTCAGAAGTCGCGTCAAACCCAGGCTGAACCCCAAACGGCTCCGTACTCCCTAAATAGTGTTCTAGCTATGAAAGTTTAGACATTCTAGCCTCTACAGTCAAACAGTGCATCATTTATCAAGTGTGGATGTGTCTGAGTCTCAAATGACTGTTTCTTAGCTGTGTTATTCACTATTGGGCTGCAGGATCCAGGAACTCCTATGTAGTGCACTATGTAGGGAGCAGGGAGCCATTTGAGATTCAGCCCCAGTGTGAGAAGAGTGGCGCCACTGGATTGGTGCTAAATAAGACTCGCGGTGGTGATTTGGACCAAACGTACTTATAAAGCGAAGGTTTTGCATTAAACAGTGCTGTGATATCATATGTTCATTATTATATGACAAAAACTTAATGAAATGACCGCAGTGTACAGCGATGGGCGACCGAACGTTCTCCTCCTTCAGCTTCCATGGTTGCTTGGCAACGATACCACACTCTAAAGAAACTACGTTTCTTGGCGGAAAACTTGTTTATGTCGATTATTATTAAAAATAACTTAAATTTTTTTGAAAAATTGTGTATTTTATCATATTTTATGTTGGCCGCTGCTTTATAAAAGCAATGAGCCACTTTAGGCTGTGCGTTACAGTGATTTTATCACAGGGAGGGAGTTTGCTTTACTGCCTTACTCTGCGCCGTGCCTAACAACACCCTTCCCTGTGGTATAACCACAGTAACGCACAGCCTCTCGTGGCTTATTGCCTTAGCAAATAATTGCGCTTAACAGTTTAACTTTCTTTCGTTGCCCTTGTTTACAGTTATGTAGAATCATATGTAGTCGGGCAAAGCCATAGTTTTTCTTGAGAGTGACTATATAAGCAAAAAAACTAGCGTAATTATGCTAGCATACGTGCTAAAAACGCTATATAAGCAAAAAAACTAGCGTAATTATGCTAGCATACATGCTAAAAACGTTACATTATGTTACCTATTTTAGTCCATTTTCATACATAATATATCATACAGTGTCAGAAACCACATAATCAGGTCTATTAGAGATTAATGAACACCACACAGTCTGAGGTGAGTTTGTGATGGTTTACGCAGTTAGCATCACGCTAACTGGCGCAGTATAGGATTCCATTACTTGTTAGCTACATTAGCCTCGTAGCTCCAGCGCTAAAAGTAAAAAAGGCAAACTTCAGACACCAAACGCATCCTGGCTGATCGACTATATGTGGGGTACGAGGGGAGAAAGTGTGAAATTCTCCTGAGGGAAACTCAAAAAAAGGCTGAAGCTGATCTACATCTGCGATGGGCGACCGAATGTTCTCCTCCTTCAGCTTCCACGGTTGCTTGGCAACGATACCACACTCTAAAGAAACTAAGTTTCTTGGCGGAAAACTTGTTTATGTCAATTATTATTAAAAATAACTTAAATTTTTTTGAAAAATTGTGTATTTTATCATATTTTATGTTGGCCGCTTCTTTATAAAAGCAATGAGCCACTTTAGGCTGTGCGTTACAGTGATTTTATCACAGGGAGGGAGTTTGCTTTACTGCCTTACTCTGCGCCGTGCCTAACAACACCCTTCCCTGTGGTATAACCACAGTAACGCACAGCCTCTTGTGGCTTATTGCCTTAGCAAATAATTGTGCTTAACAGTTTAACCTTCTTTCATTGTCCTTATATCTATTAACTGTTAAAGGCCCAAAGTGGCCAAACTGGCTATTTAGCTGTCTTACTTGCTAGCTGGGCCGATCATGAAATTTTGGCTGAGGGTTAATCAGGTACGTAATTGCGATTAACAATTTTATTGTCTATTACTGTTAGTAGCTAACACTGGTTTACTGTCGTTGCGATACACTATGCTGTTGTTTACAGTTATGTAGAATCATATGTAGTCGGGCAAAGCCATAGTTTTTCTTGAGAGTGACTATATAAGCAAAAAAACTAGTGTAATTATGCTAGCATACATGCTAAAAACGCTATATAAGCAAAAAAACTAGCGTAATTATGCTAGCATACATGCTAAAAACGTTACATTATGTTACCTATTTTAGTCCATTTTCATACATAATATATCATACAGTGTCAGAAACCACATAATCAGGTCTATTAGAGATTAATGAACACCACACAGTCTGAGGTGAGTTTGTGATGGTTTACGCAGTTAGCATCACGCTAACTGGCGCAGTATAGGATTCCATTACTTGTTAGCTACATTAGCCTCGTAGCTCCAGCGCTAAAAGTAAAAAAGGCAAACTTCAGACACCAAACGCATCCTGGCTGATCGACTATATGTGGGGTACGAGGGGAGAAAGTGTGAAATTCTCCTGAGGGAAACTCAAAAAAAGGCTGAAGCTGATCTACATCTGCGATGGGCGACCGAACGTTCTCCTCCTTCAGCTTCCACGGTTGCTTGGCAGCGATACCACACTCTAAAGAAACTAAGTTTCTTGGCGGAAAACTTGTTTATGTCAATTATTATTAAAAATAACTTACATTTTTTTGAAAAATTGTGTATTTTATCATATTTTATGTTGGCCGCTGCTTTATAAAAGCAATGAGCCACTTTAGGCTGTGCGTTACAGTGATTTTATCACAGGGAGGGAGTTTGCTTTACTGCTTTACTCTGCGCCGTGCCTAACAACACCCTTCCCTGTGGTATAACCACAGTAACGCACAGCCTCTCGTGGCTTATTGCCTTAGCAAATAATTGCGCTTAACAGTTTAACTTTCTTTCATTGTCCTACATCTATTAACTGTTAAAGGCCCAAAGTGGCCAAACTGGCTATTTAGCTGTCTTACTTGCTAGCTGGGCCGATCATGAAATTTTGGCTGACGGTTAATCAGGTACGTAATTGCGATTAACAATTTTATTGTCTATTACTGTTAGTAGCTAACACTGGTTTACTGTCGTTGCGATACACTATGCTGTTGTTTACAGTTATGTAGAATCATATGTAGTCGGGCAAAGCCATAGTTTTTCTTGAGAGTGACTATATAAGCAAAAAAACTAGCGTAATTATGCTAGCATACATGCTAAAAACGCTATATAAGCAAAAAAACTAGCGTAATTATGCTAGCATACATGCTAAAAACGTTACATTATGTTACCTACTTTAGTCCATTTTCATACATAATATATCATACAGTGTCAGAAACCACATAATCAGGTCTATTAGAGATTAATGAACACCACACAGTCTGAGGTGAGTTTGTGATGGTTTACGCAGTTAGCATCACGCTAACTGGCGCAGTATAGGATTCCATTACTTGTTAGCTACATTAGCCTCGTAGCTCCAGTGCTAAAAGTAAAAAAGGCAAACTTCAGACACCAAACGCATCCTGGCTGATCGACTATATGTGGGGTCCAACTGCTGCTTTCACAACATCCCCCTATCATCATTTCCCGTATCAGAATGGACAGCCTCGGGGCTGCAGCGGTGAAGTGAGGCCGAGCTAAAGAGTCAAAGCTAAATATGAACACAAACGGGTTCTTCACGCTGTGCTGATCTGCTACACCTGACGCTCTCTTTCCTCTCTGCCTCTCGTCTCACCTCTTTCTTTCTCTTCTCAATCCTTTCACCCTTTTTCTCCCTTTTCTCTCTTTGTCTCTCATTATACTAATTTGCTGTCTTTTTTCTGTACCTCCTTTTTCCTCTCCCTCTCTTTCTCTTCTATTTTTGCCCTTTATCTGCACCTCTGCTGCACCTGCAGGACTCAAAATGGTCACTGCCCTGTGTGCACTGATAAAATGGTCATCAGAACTGGTCCAAAACGAGGCCAGAACAGCAGCTACAAAAAGAATACAAAAAAACCACGCAGACACAGACAGACACACAGACAGACAGACACACAGACAGACACACAGACAGACAGGCCACAGGAGCATCGGCACAGTTCTTCTGATTTAGACTGTTTGTAGGACAATGCAGATACATAAAGTACACTAAACTATTTAAAGTACACTAAAGTGCATAAAGTACACAAAATTACAAAAAGTACACTATAAAAGTACACAAAGTACACAAAAGTACACTAAACTATTTAAAGTACATTAAAGTACATGAAATTACAGAAAGTATACTAAACTACCCAAATATTCTAGAGTACGTAAAGTACAGTATACTACACAAAGTGCATTAATTTGCATAAAGTACACTAACAAACATTAAGTACACTACACTTCATAAAGTACACTAAAGTACATAAAGCACAATACACTACAAACATACACTAAGTTTACACTGAAGTGCACCACAAAGTACATTCGAGTACACTACAGTACACAGAGTAGACAACAGCACAAAAAGCAGACAGAACTGCCTAAGCTGTCCACTTTATCAGAAACCCTCTCTTGTAGCTCCACCTCACTGGGTGTTCAGTGAGAGATGGTATGTGATCTGCAGATGGACAGTGTGTTGGTCATCCTGTAGTCCAGGGGTGCCCTAACTTTATGTCTCAGGGGGAATAAAGTGGGCCGAGAGCCAAAAATACGAAAACAATATCCAAATGAAGATGTTTACACTAACAGAGACAGGACTGTAATCAGGAGAGTGGTCAGTTCTACAGAACAGTATAAATACAGTATTGACCTCTCAGTGGGCGAGCGGGTTACGGTTTCTTTAAAGTGGGCCAAATCAAACATCCTCATGGGCCAGCCCTTCTCTAGCCCTCATCACTGGTCACTGACTGACCTCAGAGCCGCTCTCAGCACAGCAGTGACCCTGACAGTGGCATTGTGTGTGATGCTGGTGTGAGTGTTTTTACACACATCGGTGTCTCTGCGGGGCTGGGAGCGGCTCTGTGGTCAGACACCAACATAACATCAGGAAGACAGCGGCCCTGTGGTCAGACACTGACCGGTGATTGATGGGGTGGAGGGGCTGATACACCGTACAGCAACAGACGGACTACGGACTGTAACTGTACACACAGACAGTGGAGATATAAGGGAGGTGTTTCTAATAAAGTGGACACTTAGTGAAAAATTCCATTTGAAATGTGCTGAACAAAGAGAGAGAGAGAGAGAGAGAGAGAGAGAGAGAGAGAGAGAGAGAGAGAGAGAGAGAGAGAGAGAATATCTAGAGAGAGAGAGAGTCTATAGAGAAAGAGAGAGAATGTCTAGAGAGAGAGAGAGAGAGAGAGAGAGAGAGAGAGAGAATCTATACAGAGAGAGAGAGTCTATAGAGAGAGTCTAGAGAGAGAGAGAGAGAATATCTAGAGTCTAGAGAGAGAGAATATCTAGAGAGAGACAGAACGTGTATAGAGAGAGAGAGAGTGAGTCAATAGAGAGAGAGAATGTGTATAGATAGAGAGAGAGAGTCTATAGAGAGAATGTCTATACAGAGAGAGAGAAAGAATGTCTATACAGAGAGAGAGAAAGAATGTCTATACAGAAAGAGAGAGAGTCTATAGAGAGAGAGATAGTCTACAGAGAGAGAGAGAGTCTACAGAGAGAGATAGTGAGAGAGTCTATAGAGAGAGAGAGAGAGAGAGGTATTGATATACCGAGCTGCTCTGTTGATCCCATCTTCTGTCGGTCATTTGTACAGTGTGACGTGTCGTGACCGTGCGCGTGCGCCTTGTGCACCTCTGTCCAAAACACACACACACACACACACACACACACACACACACACACACACACACACACTCTCAGTGTAATCTGCGGTTCAGTGTGTATCTGGACTCACCGCTGATTTGCATCAATGACTGTCATTTGCATTTACCTCGCGCTGAAACAGATCCCGCGCGATCGCAGCCTGCCTACCGGGAGCGCGCGAGAATCACGGACCCGTCTGGACCGGAAGCGCTCGAGCTCCCTCAACGCGGGTCTCTGGCGCGGCGACGTGGCTGCGGGACAGGATCTCGGGTCTCGGCGGCGCTCGCGCTTTGGACGCGTACGCTCGTATCCGGCAGCTCGCGACCTGCGCACCGCATCGACAAAATACGCGAAGAACGTCATCACCTCCTTAAAGGGGCCGCAGAGGAATTACAGAGCAGCGCGGCTCTTAAAGGGGCAGCGCCTCTGACTGCCCATGCACCACTGCCCAGGGGTCGCTGACTGCCCAGGGGCGCTGACTGTCCAGGAACCACTGCCTAGGGGTCTCTGACTGCCCAGGGTCCACCTCCCATGGGTCTCTGACTGCCCAGGGTCCACTTCCCAGGGGTCTCTGACTGCCCAGGGTCCAAAACCCATGGGCCTCTGATTGCCCAGGGTCCACTGACTGCCCAGGGTGTTGGTGGGCCACGGACCATGAGAACGTGTTTTATATGGTTCTATATAGCACCTTTTTGAAAAGGGTTCTGCTTTTGTATACAAGCTTGACATCGTAACAATAGCAGAACCCTTTTAGGTGCTGCATAGAACCATATACAACACATTCTTCAGCAATCTGAAGAACCCTTTAATGATGCAAAGAACCCTTTAATCAATGCTTCTTTGAGTGTTCATGGTTCTATATAGGTCCACTGTCTTTACTGAAGAACCCTTGAAGAACCATCTTTTTTAAGACTGCATGTTAAACTGCTGTTAAATTCATTTGTATTTGTTGTATTTTAATCTACACACCAATGTTTTACCGGCTGTTAAACCCATTAATGTCCAAAACCGACTTCCTCTAAACAGAACTCTCAAAAATGTTTCCAAAAAGTGGCTAAAAAGTTAATTAAATTTAGCCACGTGGGCTGCAATTAAAATCTGATTATAAATGAAAGCATAAAAGCTCCATTATAAAATCTATCGTGTCCTGTTAAATGTCAATATAAGCTATAACTACACCAAATTTCATCACTTTAGACCAATCAGAACATGTTCTGTAGCATTTTATGTCATCACACTGAACAAGAACGGGTCAAATCCACAGAGCAATCCTGATATCCACCACTAGATGGCGCTGTTGTTGAAGAAAATGACCAAGGCCGAATCTGAGGCCTTAAAACAGAATGAATTCACACAGAAACAGTCGGTGCAGCAGTTTATCATCGTTTTTAATGAACTCATTCATTCTATGCAACTCATTTAAAGTTATTAAGGCACTTTTATGATCCAAGGCCAGCTGGAAAAGCTTACAGGCTCGTCAGATCACACACGTACATTTACACCCACTGTCCACTGCGTCAGCTCCACTGACCACATAGGAGCACTTTGTAGTTCCACGGTTACAGACTGTAGTCCATCTGTTTCTCTGCGTACTTTGTTACCCTGTTCTTCAGTGGTCAGGACCCCCATGGACCCCCACAGAGCAGCTACTATTTGGGTGGTGGGTCATTCTCAGCACTGCAGTAACACTGACGTGGTGGCACTGACACAGCGTCCTGTGGGCAGCGTCCTGTGACCACTGATGAAGGACTAGAGGATGACCAACACAAACTGTGCAGCAGCAGATGAGCTATCGTCTCTGACTTTTTCGTTTCTGAATCTACAAGGTGGACTGATAGAGTGGACAGTGAGTGGACACAGTGTTTAAAAACTCCAGCAGCATTGCTGTGTCTGATCCACTCGTACCAGCACAACACACACTAACACACCACCACCACATCAGTGTTACTGCAGTGCTGAGAATGACCCACCACCCAAATAGTACCTGCTCTGTGGGGGTCCATGGGGGTCCTGACCACTGAAGAACAGGGTGCAGAGAAACAGATGGACTACAGTCTGTAAGTGTAGAACTACAGAGCAAAACTATGTGGTCAGTGGAGCTGAAAAATGACCAGTGTGTGCACAAATATACAATCTGAACTGTTCAGAAACACAATTTAATCAAGGCACGCTGATGTGAGTGAGGGTACAGTCTATAGGGGTGTGGGGGGGGGCTCATTAAGGAGGGGCACACTGAGAAAATCTCTTTACGCACTAGAATAACATAATAAGGCCATTCATAATTTCATAATTCATTATATATTAGACATTATTCCAAGCTGAATGTCAAAATAAGAAGAAATTAAACATTGCAGTTTGATTTAAACTGACCAGCGGCTCGAACGTGACCCTTCGGCCAGCTGGTCAATCATGTATGTACAGTATATCATCACTGTCATTATAAAACCTCCATTTCTTTGCTTTTTTTTTTTTTGGTATTTTTGCAACATTGCTTTACATTGTGTGAACCACATGGGCTTAATTTGAAGGGGAAGTCCACCAATATTTAAAAGTGTCTGATTAATTACATGGTTAAGATGTAAACAAAGCCATTCAGAGTTTGGGGTGAAACGAGTCAGAACTGTTCACAGTGGTGGTGATGGGAACCAGACGTCCACCTCTAACAGCTCCCTCACAGCCCCTTTCCACTATTTTCCATCATCAACATTCCATATAAACTCAGAAGACTCGTGTAGGTTCACTGGTGGTTCTGGATAGTAAATAAAATGTCTATATTTGTGTTGTAGTCATGGTGACCCCTGGTTCCTATCACCACCACTGTAAAGAAGTCTGAACCATTTCATACCAAACCATTTTAATAACTGAAGTAAGTAGTTTTTTTAAAAAAAACCTCCCCTTTAAACGTTGCTATTTGGGAAAGATCAGCCCTGTTAGTCCACTGAAGTCCATTCCAGCAAGGTCAAGCATCCAAGCCTGTGTGTGTGTGTGTGTGTACGTGTTTGGTGCAGTCCTGAAGTGTCAAGCGCTTTGGCATGGAAGTGGAAACCCTGTAAACGCAGTCCGGGCCGACGCGGCCGCCACAGTCACTCGGTCGGGCACAGTCAAGTCCAGCTGGATCCGAATAAGAGGGAGAATCCTTCACACGGTCCAAAAAAAATAAATAAATGCAGTTTGTCCTCTGACTGTTTAATCGTTATCAGTATTGCAAGGCTCAGCATCATGATATGCAAATGAGCCCTTCAGCCAATCAAAAAGCAGTGCACTATACCAAAATAGTGCTTCCGAAGTTCATCAAGGAGCCATTTGGGACACAGCCCTATAGTGCTGCACAATACATGGCTTGTTAATTGTTATTGTCCTTTGAGCGCTCTAACCAATTGCAAAACAGCACACTTGACCCAAATAGTGCACTAGATGCCCAGCAGGGAGCCATTTGGGACACAGCCCGATAGTGCTGCACAATGTATCTGGTTAATTATTAATTGTTATTGCGATGCTGGCCAAATGAACCACAAATTAGTGCACTATTACCAAATAGTGCACTAGTTGTCCAATAGGAAGTCATTTGGGACACAGCCCGACAATGCTGCACGAAAAATGGTTTGTTAACCGTTTCTGTCCTTTGCAATACGAAACTGAGCGCTCTAACCAATAGCAAAATAGCCCACTTAACCCACATAGTGCACTAGCTACCCAACAGGGAGGCATTTGGGACACAGCCTGATAGTGCTGCACAACATATGGTTTGTTGATAGTTAATTGTTATCACAATGCTGGCCAAATTGACCACAAATTAGCTTACTATAACCCAATAGTGCACTAGATGTCCAGTAGGAAGTCATTTGGGACAAAGCCAGATAGAGCTGGATGATACATCAGTTGTAAATCGTTAGTGCGACGCCTGCAATATGCAAATGAGCCCTCCAACTGATCAAAAAATAGTGCACTACACTGAAATAGTCCAACAGAGAGCAATTTGGGACACAGCCTGATACAGCTGCACAATAAATATCGATTAACTGTTATCGCAATGCTGGCCTTTGCAAACCCTGATCATGCAGAAGGCTGCGATTTGCAAATAAGCCTTGAGCCAATCACAAACCAGTGCACTAGATGCTCAAGGGAGCATTTTGGGACACAGCACTACAAGGATTCATATCATTTGTTTATTGCCATCATGCTGTTCTTCGTGATACCGTCTGCAATATGCAAATGAGCCCCCCAACCAATCAAAAAAATAGTGCACTACACTGAAATAGTGCATTCGGAGTCCAATAGGGAGCATTTTGGGACACAGCCTGATACAGCTGCACAATATATACTGATTCATCGTTATCGCGATGCTTGCATTGTTATGCGTTATTTGCAATACTGATATGGCAGAAGGCTGCAATATGCAAATAAGCCCTCTAACCATTCACAAACTAGTGCACTAGATGCTCAAGGGAGCATTTTGGGACACAGCACTATAGGGCTTCATGATATATCATATATTAATTAGTTTCGCAATGTTGTCCTTCACAATACTGATATCGCTGAAGTCTGCAATATGCAAACGAGCCCTCCAACCAATCAAAAGTCCAACAGGGAGCCATTTGGGACACAGCCCTATAGGGCTGTAATACATATTGTTTATCATGACCGCCGTACTGTTCTTTGCAACACTGGCATCGCAAAAAAAAGAAAGAAAGAAATGTCAACGTTCAAACCAATCACAGTATTTGTTTACTGTGCGCTGACCAATCACGGCTCCCGATGAGGTTCCGTGGGAGTTCTGGTTCACGTAATCCAACAAAAGGAACGGATTTTTGTCAAATTAATGCTAATATTTCATTACTGATCCACCAGTGTGGTGTTATGTTGTATAAGGCATAACAAGGTCGCAACATGGAGCAATATAATCACAATACTGTCACTGTGTCCGTCATCATTACTGTAATATATAACAGCACCACTGTAATATGGTGTTTGTCCGTATATGGCGCAGGAGGAGGAGTATTTGGGGTCTTATGGGGGAACACTGGCCTCCCGGCATGGCACCAAGTCTACACAGAGAGAGCAGGAGAGAGGGAGAGAGCGAATGGGAGGGAGGGGAGGGATCTACTGGTTCTACTGGACGGCCCCCGGCCTGGTCGCCACGTACACGAAGAGGACGATGAGCAGGACGAGCACGGCCAGCGTGGGCAGGACCACGGTGGCCACCTGCTCTCGCGCCTCCTGCATGGCCTGCTTCCTCTCCTTCTTATCCTTCC